GGTCGATTTTGTAAACGAATCAAGTCTTTCTACGTAAGTGATAAAGGCAAATATTTTATCACATTCAACTCATCATACCACCACTTACAAAGTTACAGAGCACTTTTTCCCTTTCCTTTCCTGTGTTGAGAAAACCGGGTTTTACGAATATCAAAGATATTTCAAGCAGTATTCAACGGTTTTCGGATCCAAGTAAGACTTTTATTCACAAACTAAATACAGAATTGGAATCAGCACAAAAAACTGAATCAGATGAAGTATCTTTCAAGGAAATTCGATAACTTTCATTTTTTCTCACTTTTTTGCTATTATCTGGGGGACTGGAATTTATGCACACGTGTGAAAAAATGAAAGTTATCGAATTTCCTTGAAAGATACTTCATCTGACTCAGTTTTTTGTGCTGATTCCAATTCTGTATTTAGTTTGTGAATAAAAGTCTTATTGAATCCGAAAACCGTTGAATACTGCTTAAAATACCTTTGATATTCGTAAAACCCGATTTTCTCAACACAGGAAAGGAAAGGAACAAAAGTGCTCTGTAACTTTGTAAGTGGTGGTATGATGAGTTGAATATGATAAAATATTTACCTTTATCACTTACGTAGAAAGACTTGATTCGTTTACAAAATCGACCTCTACGTGGTAAACTTGACGAGATTCGATGCGCCACCACAAATAGAGTTTTAGGTCTTGCGTCGATTTAACAACCTACTTCTACTCAGTTTTTGATGCTGAATCTGAAAAAATAACTTTTAGAAGGAAAAAAAAGAATAAAATAGAAAATTTTGCATATTTCCCGAAAGGATGCATTTTTCGACCGGAAAGAAGCTTTTGCTAAGGCTAAAAAGTAGATATTCGTGATCAGCAGATAAAAATCTATCAGATGATGTGAAAAAAACGCGAGAAAAAAATTTTACTGAAAGTTCAAATTGCCTGCACTTTACTGTTGTTGTGTTTTTTCTTCCCTGTCTTTATTAATATGAAAAATTACGAAATGTCACTGATTCTATCAAATGTTTGCATTATGTTAAGTTTTTGTTTTTTGTTTATGGGAGTTTTTACCACAAAATGTTTAAAACAATGTAAAATATCGATGTACTTGATTTTTTTCGTAATTCTGGATGTTAAAAAAAAAACAAAAATGATAAGAAAAAAGCTAAATAGTTTTTTTTCTTACACTCACATAAGAGTTTATGATATACAGATTAAGAAATAAAATATGTAAAAATAAGATAAAATTATAAAAATCCTGAAGCATAGCGGAAAAAAAAATATCTGGTTCTTAATCAGACCAAGTTTTATTTGTGCTGCATGAAATGTTAATTGATTATGAAATTATGACAAGACTAACAAATTTTAAATCGTGGAAAAACAAAATTTAACTTCTTTCCGCAAGTTGTGTTTTCGCATAGGAACATACATCAGTCAATATCTCTTGAATTTCAAACATTTCTCATTGTAAAATGTTGTAAAGCATCAAACATTTTAAGCAACTTGAACTGTATTATCCCAACAGTTTCAGTATTATTTTTTAAATAAGAAAAGGAAACCATATCTTCAGTAAAAACGATCATATACCTAACTTCTCGAGTTTTATTGCAATTATTTACTTGTTAGGACTCTTCTGATGTTGAATAATGGAGAGATCGAATGAGACAATCATTACTTAAGTCATCCAATGGATTACTTGCTGTTGAGTCTAGACTAGAGAAGTGCAGGATCAACTATAGTCCCAGTGATAAACACAAGGAGAAAAAAAAGTTTTTCAGTCTGAAACTAAAGATGTTAGTTAAATATTTTATAATTTAAAGCGAATCATATCAATTAGAATATAATTAAAAAAAAAAAACTTCTAGTCGCTGATACACCTTAATGAGATCTGAATTCTCTTATGTTAGTAACTGAAAAAATGTTGCATTTTTAAAGCAAACATACAAGTCAATTGTCTCTATGCAAAACTTCAAGCCGAAATTCAAAAATCCGTTTTTCCGATCTCTATGAGACGGTGCCCACAGCATTGACTTAATGAAATATCATAAAAACGCAGTATCTTATCAGCAATAGATTAAGAACTCAAACTCTTTTTGAAGGTATTCTCATAGTCTATTAAGATTTACATGATGCGCATAGTCTCGACTCACAAAATGATTAATTAATGTCTTCATGAGTCGAACCATTTTAACCTTCTAAATACAAAAACTTGAGTCAATCTATTATATTTGAATAATTGAAAATAAATGTAGACAAAATGATATTTAGGTGCTGAAGAATTATCAAAAAAATTTATGCAACAAAATGTTGAATTACAACGTGAAATTGAAGCATTTCGTTCTAAACTTGACTATATTGTTACATTCATTAATGAAAAACTTGATCAAAAAAAAACAACACCAGCAACATCATCATCAGTATCTATGCTTCAATTAGCTTTTGAAAATATGCAACAAACAGAAATGAAATTACTTGAACTTAAATTAAAATCAGTATCACAACAAGAAGAAAATGATCTTTTAAAATATTTAGTAAGCATTAAAATTTAAAAGCAAAAATTTAATTTTAAAAAAAAAATAAATAAATAAATAATTAGATGGAAAAATCACAAAACATATCAAGCATTGAACAAATGCAATTATTCGCTATTATTGAACAACGTTTACTTGAACGTGAAATTGATCTTGTTCGTCAAGAACTTGAAATTACAGAGAGAAAAGCCGTTCAACTTGAACAAGCAGTAAATTTTCTTTATGTTTTTATTTTTAATTATTATTATTCATATTTTGAAATTTTAGTTTGAAAATTCAGATGAAACAATTAAATTTCATTTGGAAAGTCTTAAATTAAAATGTGATATTTTACGTAAACATATTATAACATGTAGTCAACGATTAGATGAAGTTAATAAACAAAATCTTATTAGATTAGCAAATGAAAGTCAAATTCTAAAGTATAGAAATTTTTCAAAAGAAATTTCTATTTTTTTTTTTTTCTTTCATATAGAAATAGAAATCAACAAGAAGAATCAAACATTGAAGTATGATTAATAAGTTATTTTGAATTTATTTATAATATATAGATTTTATTTTGTATAATTTAATTAGAAAAAAAATATTGAACTTGAAAATGAATTATTACAATTACGTGAACGTTATAATGAGTTAATTGAACATGCAAATACACTTCAATCTGAATTAAATGATGCACGAAAACAATTTCATGAAAGAGAAAAAGTAAAGAAAATTAGAAATTTTTTGAGTTTTTATTATTTTTTTAATTTTCTGTGACTAAAATAATTTTTAAAGTTTTCTAAAATTAAATCTTGAATCAAAAGAATTAATATACAAGATAGACGAAATTTAAAATTTATAGTTCATAATAAGTTACAAAAGAAATAGGAAATATAAAGGCTTCAAGATTGATATAAACCGATAAAATCTGTTAGTTTTCTATTAACTAGAATGTCATATTGCATTCGTAGGAGACTAAGTAATAATATGATGAAGAAATGTGTCTCAAAATAGATAGAATAAAACAATCTCTCTGTGACTATCAACAACAGCTATATCATGTTTCGCACTTTAATCTCACAAGGATTACATTACCAACTTTTTCTTTTATCTAGTTTAGTGCATATCATCAAAAAGCTAAGTTGGTACTTGCGACCTGAAATTTTATCTCTATAAAGGTCTTATGGGTTCTATCATTCACTGAAAATTTGGCCTAGAATAAATTTTTTCTTCTTAAAATATTCGATTCTCAATCAATATTCATATTTTAGAAAAGATTTGTTCTAGATGAAATTTTTAGTGTATGATAGAAAATCATAAGATAGTTTTAGCAGTAAAATTTTAGAATCGAAATAATGAGATTAGTTTCGAGATGATATATCCTAGAATAGACTGAAAACAAATTCTGAAATTATCACTTCATGAACAATTCATTACAATGAATGAGTATCGACTTAATATTATTTAATAAATAAAAATAAAGAGATTTCTGAAACAAAAAATTTTCTAATGTGAGCACTATTAGAATCGGTCAAGAGTGCTTATCATTGAGAGGTAAATCAGTTCGTGTTGACATGATTTCATGTTACTAACTATTAACACAAAATAGCGACAAGATGTTACACCAAACATTGTTGCTTTTGTCTAAAATTGCTTTTTTTTTTCTTTTTAATATGCACAATTAGTCCATTCATTTTGCCAATATGTTTCATAATTGTTTATTATAAAGATCATTTATTTCTTATTCTGCACGTAAGTGATCGAACATATGTTGCACACATTAGAGTGATTGTGGTATTACTCATGATACAATAGGCAATTTCTATCGAGCACTTTTATATGATTTATTTTCGGTCAAAAACAAAATCATTTTCAATGGGAAATTTCTTATCCTAAACCTGTCTTCATTCAAATATAGAAGATCATTTTCTGAAAGTTTTTTTCATATCGGATAAGTGAAAAAAGTGGCAGCTAATTGTAGTGAAGAAAAACTTATTAATCGATAGAGCACAAGTTCTTGTTTCAGAGTATATATATGATTTAGGGTCCGACAATTATTATTACTTTTTTTTTGAAAAAAATGATGTTTTTGTTCATGACTGCTGAAATTTGACTTTTTTAATTTTTTCACCTAATGTCCATGCTATTGACCACAATGTATGAGATAAGAAATAGTCGTCCAATATCCAGTATAAGAAGATGTTCACTTAGAGCGATTTTACAGTAATTAATTTTTTGTCTATCATTACTATTTATTCTGTAACATAAACAAGGAATATTTTTGCTTTGTATTCATTGAATTCGCAGTTTTCTTTTTTTTTATACATTTGCATATAGAAAATCATAGAATTGACAATACTCGAATACAATTAAATCGTTTAATCCTATGAAAAGATCGAAATTTCGATTAAATGAAATATAAATAATGAAAAAGCTATATTTTAAGTCTTAAGGACAAATATAATATATTTTTTCAGTACATATTAATTAAAATATGAAAATAATTTTAGCTTGAATTAAAGATAAATGTTGATTTGGAATCAGAACGTCGACGTGCCGATCAAATAGAAAATGAATTTAAATCTTTAAAAATCAAATATGAAGATGTATGTGAACGTGTTCGTGCAGCTACACATCAATTAGAACATGTACAAATTTTACTTGAAGAAACATCACGTCGTTGTGAACAATTAGAAAAAGAAAAGGTAAAAATAGAACATGAAATAAAAAAAAAAAAAACCTAATTTCATTCCATTGTATATCGCGTACATATTATTCTATGATTCGACTAGTTCAGCTACGCAAAAAATTGGTATTAATATATGATTTATTCCTTCGCTTTTCTTTTTTCTTCTTGTTTTTCTATTCACTATTTCAATATTTAAATTCTTAGATAAATTATCCATTAAGCACATTTTATGCACTTTTTCCTTTTTTTTTTTTTTTTTTTTTTTTCTTTTATATATTACCTCTGTATATTTACCCTATGTATTAAAAATAATTAATTTTTTTGCATC